AAGACTATGAAAAATACGCAAGTAGAAAGACTATAAATCCCAGAGTCGCGTAAGTGATGTCACAATTGTTTTCCTCCACTAAGAGATAGCTAAGATCAGCGCCATATAGATAGAATCTATCTATCCATATAGATAGAATCTATCTATATGGCGCTGGCTAAGATAAGATAACTTTAACAAGTGTGCCACTCTCTCTAACGGTTTCAACATAAACTGTACCGAAAATAAATACCTCACGATGTCTATCTAATTATGAACTTGCTTTACTTTCACGGAACACATTTTTGGTGATAACAAACAAATGTAACAAAGTAACATATTTACCAACACATGTTCTACGCCACTATATACTTACATTTAAATGTGTGCTGCGTCGGTTCAGCCATTCTCCGCAAGGGTTTTTGAAATTGGTCCGTGCGCAAAGCATTGTGGGGATTTTAAAAGAGAGATGTCATGCTTTTCCGGTTATTACCCTTCCCCTTGTGTGTTATGAAGGTTTTTATGCATGTAATCGGTCTGCAGAGTCAAAAACCCTCAAAGTACACCCTGTCGGGAGTAAAACTCTAACACAGAAAAGATCTCCCCAAAACGCCTCGTTGGAACTTTCTCATGTTCTTCCTGGCTAGAGATGGGCGAGTCCTGATTCATCCGGATCATTAACCCGGATCCTAGAAATGAGCTGGTCGTGACGAGTCTCCCCTCTCCATTAACCCGAGTCCTTGAGTCCCACACTTGGTGTGACGTACAAATTAAAACTATAAATTGCGTCACTCGCTACTCTCTTTATAACATGTAAAATCACATTACAACGTACCCCAGTCCATCTGCCTACCCTTTAGCAAGTATACAGGATAGCTGCCTGCCAGAAGTTATCGTTTGGCTCAGGGGAGGGGACGCGGATCAGTGAAACTTCCTGCAGACTCGTGGGGACTCAGAGGAGCCAACGGCTCCTAACCGTAATAGCATAGCAGATCCAGCGATCCATACTCGTCATGTGCACGAGCATAGCCCCTCCTCCAGCACCCGGCTCCCGCGCTATATTATGCACGAGTCAACAGCAGACTCGCAGATTCGCAGATTCGCAGATTCGCAAATCCTGACTCGCTGTGCAACACACAGCAGAGCAGACTCGTGCGGACTCGGAGCCGTATATAGCAGCAGATCCAGAGATCCAGCAGACTCGTCCTCATGCACGAGTCAACAGCAGACTCAGATTTGCCAAATCGCAAAATAACCCTTTTTTTTGTGATCAACATTTTTTATTAAAGCAAAATACACTGTGTAGCGGAGGTTAATATAACGTCAGTTTAATAGATAGATAGATAGATAGATAGATAGATAGTACTTTATTGATCCCAAATTGGGAAATTGTTGTTGTTACAGCAGCATAAAAGGCATTTTACAAAATATACAAGAATAGAAAGAAAAATAAAATAAAATATAAAATATACATGTCGAAATAGAAAATATACATGCAGATATTATATATATATATACAAATATATATATATATATATTCAAAATATATGGAATAATAATATGCTCGTGAAATGCAACAACTTTTCGGTTTCACCGATAGGATTTCTACGGTCTTGGTGATGCTGACTCATATGACTCATATGACTCAAATGTTTTCTGTTGTGGCCGAATCAATATGATAAGCCCACAATTAGTATTGTAGTGTTTCGCTGTGCGAAACACACTTTGTCAGCGCTGTCATCTGCCGGTGCGTTAAGACCACCTCAGTGTCGGATTTTGGAAACTTAATTTTGAGTTGTCTCATCATGGCAGTTAGGGTATAAGGGACAAACCAGGGGACTTTACTTCCTCTTAATACCGTCGGTTATTTACAAAAAAACACCTAAATATAGCCTACTTGTTGTTATAGAGTGGCGAAGTCACGCCCATCTACTTCCGGTCCATGGGACCTTATTTCGGAAAAATAATGTATTGAAGTCAATGGAGAGAGAAAACGTATCTTTTGATCCCGTTTGAATTGTGCCATGAATTACACATATGATGTTTGTCAATCTTAAACAATCATTTCCATGTCAAAAAAGTCACAGTTTGTCGTAAAACTGTTGAAAAATACGCAAGTAGAAAGACTACAAATCCCAGAGTCGCGTAAGTGATGTCACAATTGTTTTCCTCCACTAAGAGATAGCTAAGATCAGGGCCATATAGATATAATCTATCTATATGGCGCTGGCTAAGATAAGATAACATTAACAAGATGCCTGTGTGCTTAGTACCAGGTTGTTATCATACCAGCAATGGGTCTTGCTTGTTCTTTCGCTTCCCGTCTGATGAAAGGACCAGGAGTGTCTGGATCACAGAGTTCCCGTTAGCTGGTAATTACCGGACTATGACTGGTAAAATATGCTGAAGACCGGCAAATCTAAATCTCTCCGGTCAAAATCATTTTCCCTTAGCGCAATACCGCATCAGTTGCGCCACTTATGTGACAGACAAGAAGAGTATGTGACAGACAAAAGAGTATGTGACAGACAAGAATAGTCTATTCTAATGTCTAACACTTAATGTGGAGAAAGAGATGTCCTGTATGGGTTGATTGTGCGTTGATCTGTTGGTAATGCCTCGGGGTTCCGGTGGGCATGTAAACAAATGCATAATGCTGCGCTATACTTTGTGGCCTCACCCGGTTGCATAGCGACGCTTATTGTTTAGGTGTCTTTTAATAAGCAGGTAGTCATATCATTAGCTAGAACTAGCTGGATCTGATCGATATGGACATGAACGCGAGTAAAGTCTAATCTGACGGGAGAGAGAGATCGGCTGCTGCTGACGAGTCGACACGCAGCTCTGCATGAGCCCCTGCAGCGGCGAGCAGAGCAAAACACACTTCAGGTTAGAACATCACACGTAGCTATTTTAATTACCTCTCAAACTACCTAAACTAGTTATAGATATGTTTAGTTTTACTGTCGGGTCACTCATTACTGGATCCGCGAGCTGCATGATACTGACGGGCTGTCAGGAGAAGGAGAGAGCGCTCCGTTTATTATTCCCGTGTTTTTGTAAGATACTGTACACTTTTGAATAATGTAGTTAATCTACTATAATTAGTTTGTTTAATATCGAATCATATCAATTTGTTTTAAAGCTCAATAAATAACAAAGAAGACCTTTGACCGGCACTTTTCTCATTTTGTCCGGAAGATTTCAACTTTAACGGACATGTTGACCGGCAAACAAATATTCTAACGGGAACTCTGCTGGATCAAGCTAGCTAGTAGCTAGCACGTTAGTTAGCATTACAGCCTTGTCATTTTTATTAGCCTTAACATGAAGTAACATGAAGTAACCCAAAATGTTAAACAGTAAGAGTAGTAGTCATATTTCGTGAACCCTTTGAATAGTACTGTCACCGGTGTGATCATTCTATAATACACAATTTTAGAAATGAAGTCTTATTCATTATTATTTCATATTGTATTTCCCTTGTTTCTCTCTTCTGTCCTTCCTGTTCCACCATGCATGTGACATGACTCTGGGGTTGGCAGTGCCACCACTTTGGTCCATCTGAATAATCCCAATAACTTTTGGCTAGATTGCCATAAAGAGTTGTATACACTCACACGTTCAAGTCCCTCCTCAAAACCCACCTATTCAGATCAGCCTACTCTCTGTAGTGTTCCCTATCATCTGTCTCCCCTGAATACCTTTTCCCAATCATTTGTGTCCACTTTAATTGTCCTCTCCATGATGGTATGTTTGTGTTTTTATCATGTTCTGTTGCTTTTACCTTATCTTAGAATATTTAACAAATTGTACGGTGTCCTTGGGTGTCATGAATGGCGTTTTAAATAAAATGTATTATACACATTGACGTTTCCCAGAGAATGTATCCCTCTGAAGTGTTCTTTAGTACCACCATGATGAACTAAAGCAATGTGGTTATTATTGAAATGTCTAAACAACTTTTGGATGGATTGCCATGAAAGGTTCTCTACAGGATCACCCAGAGAACAGATCAAAGGTTTTTGAATTTTTTGGCTAGCGAGGCCGTGTAGTGGAAACGCGACATTTTGTCGCGTTTCCACTACACGGCCTCGCTCGGTATGGCTGGGCCTCGTTAGGACTGGCTCACTTTATGGCGCATTTCCATTACAGTTTAGGAACTGGGGCAGTATCTATAGTAACGCAGTGTAGGCGGAGCCGTGACGTGATCTTCAGAGGACCCCAGAAAAACAACACAGCCGTTAGCTGTTAGCACTCAGAGCTCACAGCTCCTCATATATGTTCAGAAACTAGACAAAAGTTAAACAAGTACAAACCACAGACTGCCTGTGTCATGGTGAATACAGTCGCTGCTTTATTTATGTCTGTATAGGCCGTTGTTGTGAGTGTGGACGGTCGGAGCATATACTGCGTTAGCTTAGCCAATCTCCATTTAGAAAACAAGCATTTTAAAAGGTTTTTCCCCTGCCGTCTGTCTGCAGACTTGACAAAGCATTAATTCATGGTTTTTACTAACCGGTATCAGTATGTTGTTACTTCGGCATCATTTTGAAACGTGTATTACAATTAAATCACGGTCAAATATGTCCATCTTGTTGTAGTTGTAGCTCCCTTGCCAGCGACGCTCTCTCTAGTTTAGCATACTCAGCCCGACTCAGCCTCGTTGTCTCTGGCCCTAGACCCACGATTTTATGAGGCCAGAAAAACTGTGAATTAGGACCCGCCGGCCGGTACTAGGCCAAGTGGAAACGCAACCAAAGACGGGCCGCTGACGTCACAGCCCTCTTAAACCGGGCTGCGCGCTGTAGTGGAAACGTGCCATATTGGCATATAGAGGCCACCTTATGAAAACATATCATTGTTGTATGAGTCAAATATTTAAACAAGTAAAAGTGGAGACCCAGAGAAACAGGTTGGTATCTGCCTTTCAGAGCATTCACGGCCCATTAAACTGATTAAATAGGATAGAATTGAAAAATGATCTAAATTGGTTGATAATATTTAGAAGTAAGAAGGGATGAAAGCTAGAACATCTGATTTACTTTATTTTTAAGTCCAGCTGTAGAACCTAAGGACAAAAAGTGACTCATCTAGACATTTGGCCCCATTTTGATTATTTTCCATATCAATGACAAATGATAATAGAAGGCAACATGAATGCTTAAAGAAACCTGCTTTAGTTTTATACAATATGAACAAATATTATACAAAACACATAAAGTAAATCCAGTTTGATTTGCAGTCGTTCTTCAGTTTTCTCTGGCTGCTGTGCTGTTTGTCCAACGCTGATCCTGGCTGTGGGAGAGAGAGTACTTTAGTTAGAATCAAGAGCAGAACCTGAACTATCACAGTGGCTCTGTAAAAGAGTTGATTCAGGATCAAATCTGGGCATTGCCTAGGGCCATCTTAATTATTAGAGTATTATTACTTCACTGTAGTTACGAACAGTTCTTTGAGTTGTTATACATTATTTTTGGTATTGTCAAATAATATCTTTATAAACAGAGTTCCTGTGTAGTGGAGTCCTGAGAGAGCAGGCAGGAGGATCAGCCATGTTCCAGGACAGGACTCCACCTTCACTGTCTGCACCCTCGTCACCACATCTGTCCACTGACAGGACACCATGGTAATTAAAGTGCAAGTGTGTCTCCTCTACTACACACAACCCTACACCATGTTTTCACGTTTTAAGTCATGTTGTATTTCATTAATTGTTTTTATAATAAAGAAAAACGCTAAGGGAGACACCGTCAGTGTGAATCTCTCTTCTTCATTAGGTTTTTAATTTTAATATATTTAAACGTCGGCCATTTTTCACCTTATCTCTTGTGTTATGCAGATGATACCCGACACTTTTCATTCATCTGTATTGTTTGTAGTTGCTTTCTTTAAATGTGATATTTCAAGAGCTGCTTGTTTTGTTGCTTGTTCACTCAGTGCATCTGTTCTTACTAGCTTTCTGACAGTATTTCATCATGTCCATCCCTCTATTATTTAAAACGTTGAAAATCAAATTCACATCGACTCAGATTTAATGTATCACAGAGAAAACATGTTGATCTGAGGACACACACACACACACACACACACACACACACACACACACACACACACACACACACACACACACACACACACACACACACACACACACACACGCACCCGCTGAGTGTTCTATGGTCCTTCCTGAAGAAATGTGGAGAGCTGGAACATCTGATGAAGAGAGATAATCTGTCACAGTACTGCATAGAACATGAGAATAGTTTACAAATGCACACACACACACTGGGCTGGTGGGGGCTGGATGGTTAGCAGGAGACAGAAATAACCTCCAGGGTGGGGCTCTGCTGCGTTACAAGACCCCTGATGACACTGAACAGTTTACATACTGGGAAGTGACATGTTGGACATACCACTGAGGACGTGTGTGTGTGTGTGTGTGTGTGTGTGTGTGTGTGAGCAGGCTAAGATATATGTGTGAAATACAGCACACTTTAGATAACTAATAGCTCTGGTTGTTCCTCAAATCGAAAAAAAGCCCCAAACATCCCTCCAGAGTTCCTGTGTAGTGGAGTCCTGAGAGAGCAGGCAGGAGGATCAGCCATGTTCCAGGACAGGACTCCACCTTCACTGTCTGCACCCTCGTCACCACATCTGTCCACTGACAGGACACCATGGTAATTAAAGTGCAAGTGTGTCTCCTCTTCTACACACAACCCTACACCATCTTATGTGATATAATGTTTAACTCAAGTAACTTGTATTTCTTTTTAGAAATAAAGAAACCAAATTCACATCGTCTCAAGTTTGATGTCTCACAGAGGAAACACTTTGTTCTGAGGAAGTTCAACTAAGGTTTTCACTCAATATTCTGTCAGTGTATCACAGGAGTTGTATTCAAACACACACAGTACCTGCTGAATGTACTTTGGTCCTTCCTGCAGCATTGTGCAGAGCTGGAACATCTGATAAAGAGTGACACAAACACAAAGAGATACCTGTCACAATACTGCAGTGAATGAGTAGTTTGTGCACACACACACACACACACACACACACTCCAAATATCATCCAGATCACTTATATAGATTTTTAAGTATTACATATTGTTACATTCTGCACAGCTGTTATCATAATTAAACATTCACTATAAATAGGTTTTTCATTTTTGGATTTGTTAAATAGTAGGATATCTAAACACTATCAAATAAGAAATGAATTTTGAAGAATAAGAACAAGCCCTAAGCTTTGACTGTGGATCAAACAGCGCCCCCTTGTGGCCATTAAATCAACTTGTTCAATTGAACTGAAAAGCCAGCTAATGGGACTTTTCACAACGTGGCAAACAGAATAGTGTTATTATTATCCCCAATGATAAGACCTGTTACTCTTCAGTATAGATTTGCCTTATCGGGAAGTGATGCAAAGTCACATATCCATCATCAGATCATATGTATCCAGAGTTCCTGTGTAGTGGAGTCCTGAGAGAGCAGGCAGGAGGATCAGCCATGTTCCAGGACAGGACTCCACCTTCACTGTCTGCACCCTCGTCATCACATCTGTCCACTGACAGGACACCATGGTAATTAAAGTGCAAGTGTGTCTCCTCTACTACACACAACCCTACACCATGTTTTCACGTTTTAAGTCATGTTGTATTTCACTAATTGTTTTTATAATAAAGAAAAACGCTAAGGGAGACACCGTCAGTGTGAATCTCTCTTCTTCATTAGGTTTTTAATTTTAATATATTTAAACGTCGGCCATTTTTCACCTTATCTCTTGTGTTATGCAGATGATACCCGACACTTTTCATTCATCTGTATTGTTTGTAGTTGCTTTCTTTAAATGTGATATTTCAAGAGCTGCTTGTTTTGTTGCTTGTTCACTCAGTGCATCTGTTCTTACTAGCTTTCTGACAGTATTTCATCATGTCCATCCCTCTATTATTTAAAACGTTGAAAATCAAATTCACATCGACTCAGATTTAATGTATCACAGAGAAAACATGTTGATCTGAGGACACACACACACACACACACACACACACACACACACACACGCACACACACACACACACACACACACACACACACACACACACGCACACACACGCACCCGCTGAGTGTTCTATGGTCCTTCCTGAAGAAATGTGGAGAGCTGGAACATCTGATGAAGAGAGATAATCTGTCACAGTACTGCATAGAACATGAGAATAGTTTACAAATGCACACACACACACTGGGCTGGTGGGGGCTGGATGGTTAGCAGGAGACAGAAATAACCTCCAGGGTGGGGCTCTGCTGCGTTACAAGACCCCTGATGACACTGAACAGTTTACATACTGGGAAGTGACATGTTGGACATACCACTGAGGACGTGTGTGTGTGTGTGTGTGTGTGTGTGTGTGTGTGTGTGTGTGTGTGTGTGTGTGTGTGTGTTTTTGTATGCAGGTTTAGCTATATTTGTGAGAAACAGCACTTGGCACCTCCTAGTTTTGGTTGTTCATCAAACTGAATAATGCAGAACACTGGGAAGTGAAGAAGAGAGAGAGAGTGTGTGTGTGATGTGAGTCTGATCGTAGATGTATATTTACTTTACAACATTATGCAGCTGGCTCTGGGTCAGTAGGTGTGTATTTAATGAATTGCACGTCTCTGGGTCAGCAGAGACTGGGTGTTTGGTTCTCTCATGCAGACACACGCAGAAACAGACAGATCCAGCGGACTGAACTGTGATTGAACTGAATACATTGTAAGAAATTAGAGGTAGTAAAAACAGGATTCATTAACTACCTGTACAAAAACTGAAATGGAAAGCATTTAATTCCCCTGTAATAACTGAGTTTGGTTTATAAGAGATGTGAGCGACACAGCACGGTTCCTCTGATGATTCTTATAACCAGCCTCACTCTCATCTTATCCTCCCCACACAAAGGAGACACACTGATGACATATTTAAACTTTTGATTAAAGCAAGATCACATTTTGAAAACTATTCTTCCAGACTCTAATTTCTTAACCATTGAAGAGTGACAATATGAAATGTGGAGGGCTTGACACTCATGACTGTTCAAACCGCTACTGCAGCTCAGTGTTAGAAATCTGCAACTGCAACGTGGCAAGTGACCTCCCACAGGAACTTACAGTATAATTAGAAGGGCAGGAATTACAATTGAACATTTTTTATGTTAAAATGTGTTTTTAGCAGTAGGAGAAATTGTGTTAGTGAAGGTTCCTCTCTTTACATTGGCTTTTTTATACGTGACTTTAACATAAAGATTTAACAAAATAAATGCTGAGCAGAGGACACATTTTGACACAAAATATTTTTTAATTTCTAAGGAGACATTGTTCTGTTGTCTTACATCATACACTTCCTTAAATCCAAGTTATTGATGTTTATTTTCTCTTGTCTGTTTTTGCATATTTGATATTGAGTTGATACAAAGTATATGGAGAGTTCTCAGGTTGAGATTACTTTAGATTACTTAATAGTGTGATATTAGATTAAGTAAGCCTACTGATTACAGTTTTTCACAGGTAATAAGTAATTGTAACGATACACACTTTTGAAGAAACCCTCCCGACTGCATATTGCATAAAGTTGCAGCATTTGAGTCAACTTACCTCAACCAGCCGGGTGTGAGTGAGCACAGCAGCTGAGGGCCGAGGACATCAGCATGGCTTAATCTGAAACAGAGACAAAGGTTTAAAGATGAAAAACAATCAGAAGCGGGGGTAAAAGAAGCAATAGTAGTGCAAAAATGAATATATGTTAAAAGTAAAAGTCTTACATTCAAAATCGTACTCAAGTAAAAGTAGAATACACTGAAAAACTGAGACGTTGAAGTCAAAACATTTATATTTATGATGTAGTTTGAGTGATAATTCTATTGAAACATCGTGTTCATAACTTGCTGCTGGTAAAGGTGGAGTTTATATGGAGGATTAATTACAATGTAGCCTACTAATGGGAAATGTAACCTATCAATCCTAAAATATTTGAATTGCATTTTGTATTTATAACATGCATTTGCAGAAAAGTAACTAAAGCTGTAAAATAAATGTATTGAAAATTACCACACATGGAAACAAAATGAAAAGGGTAAAAGTCTAAAGTGTGGTTTTACTCAATTGAATACCTTGAATGTTCCTGAAATAACAGTACTTGAGTACATTTACTTAGATTCCACCACTGCAAACTATTCAACAATACCGACTGACATTGTTTCAAAAACACAAATTCTGAGTGAATTATTTGTATCTTTCTCCTCACAGTGAAACAGCAGGGCGCAACAAGTGAACTAAACTTCGATTTTTAACTAACTTGATGGCTGACTGGCACAGGGTCTACCAACCCGAGGGTCACCGGTTCGATCCCAGCCCACAGTCAACATGCAGGGGAAATACTTAATCCCAAATAGTTGCTGCGTGTGTAAAACGCTTTGGATAAAAGTGTCCGTTAACATGTAATGTAATCTAATGTTGAGTAATGTAACCACGTGTCAGTTGACCGTTAGCTCTCTCTCACTCTGAGCCATATGCTGTGTGTCTACTAATAGCGCAGGGTCAACTGTACGTTCAACGCCATATATGGTAAAGTAGGACACGTTGGCGCGCAAACCCAGTACAAAGAACTACTTTAAAGTGCAAAAAAAACAATATTCTTAACAGAAAAACAAAAACAATGTAATCTCTTTTGGATTTATGTTCTCATACCTTCATTCCGCCCTGGTTTGGAGCTCTGCGTTAACTTTCAGCCTCAGAAAGTCCCGCTTTGCACACCGGCAGCCTCTCCGCGCAGGAACACTCAACACACACATATGGCATTATTAAACTTTATCTGTTAAAAACTAAAGGAGGTCCGGTAACAGACCGTCCGGTCCTGCGGGGACATGCGGGGCGGTGTGTGCCATGCCCGCCTAACTGCTGTCTGTGACCGCCGGTGCCTCCCGGTGCTGTGAACGCTCCTCCTCTCAGCTGGAGGAATGTATGGAGACAGAGAGCCCTTTGTCTGGGAAGAACATCCCAGCAGGCGGCCCGAGACAGGCCAGCTGCCCCGTAACGGTCATAACATAATATACTATAATATACTGTAGGCCTACTATAGCCTACTATAATATACTACAATATAATACACTATATCATGTACAAAATATACATATTTTATAATAATAATAATAATAACAAATACAAAATAAATAAATAATAATAATAATAGCAACACAGTCAGTAAGATGAGTTGTACATGTGTTTCCATTTAAGTTAGTTATTATGCTCCATATACCTAAGTTATAGTTATATCTATTCAACTCTCATATCTTTCAAATTCAGGCTGAAGACTTTTCTTTTTGATGCTACCTTTTATTTAATCAAATATCTCATACGGCTGTAACGTGTGTTCTTGTATTTTATAATGACTTATTTACGTTATTGACTTCACATAAGATGAGCTTCAGGAGGAAGAGCATCAAAGGTTTTAAAAATATTTTACTTTTTATTTTGCAGACTAAACGGGCTGATTAAATGCTGCTGTTGTTTCCAACAAATGAAGTGCCAGAGACTCTAATCTACCACTTTAGTAAGTTATATAGGATCTTTATTGTAATAGTGGGATGAAGCCAAAATAATGAAATATATGTGTATAGGAGACACCTATGCATATAAACAGACTGAAACAAGTTTGATTGAAATTCATTTATTGAAAGTTATTTCTTTATAAAGATGGCACGTAGATAATAACTGCCCGAGTGTATTTTTTTTAATGTGCATGCTGCTTCTTTGAACAGTTGCCATAACAACCACGTCTTCAATAATTGGTAGGTGCAGTCACTCCACACAGTGGAAATGTAATTATAATCCACATGTACTGCCACTGCAAAACTGTATCTATTTTAAACACTGCTGAAATTATCGTATTTAAAAAAACAGTCATAAAGACTGAGAGCTGAATTTTGAAAACATGCATCTTATTTCCAGTTCATGTGCAGATTAATTAAGAAAAACACTTTACTCCCTGAGGTGTGCTAGGATAAAGAAAAAAAGAAAACCCGCACTGAGGCTGTTGTTGTAGAAAATAAAGGAGTTTTGATTGATTTTGAAAATTATAAAGTCATCAAAGCTTAACACACACATGCAGTTTAAATCCCAGGCCAGTTCTGATAACGGCAAAGAGATGCAAAAATATTGTCTAAAATGTAAAAAAGGCACCCTTGAACAACCCATGGTAGTATAAGACTGCCAATGAGCAGTTTACTGGTTTAAGACGGCACGTTGCTCCAGTCAAGTTTGGCACTGAAGCATAAAGCAGCTTTTCTGGAAGTGAAATATCTTCCTTTGGACCTCAGCAAACTCCGCTCAGCTGAGAGGAAATGTTCCAGCTGAATAGAGCAAAATGCATGAACGTGCAACTATAGCACGGCAATATGTGTTGAAGAGTCCCCTCTGATGAAGGATCTGTGATATTGGCTGATGAAACTAACACAAGTTTTTGAGGTTTGAGTGCTGAGTGAGGGGGGTGCTGTAGGCGGAGTCCCAGTCCCTCTCAAACACGGCCTGTAGCTGTGATTGGACGGTTGGCTCAGAGGACTCTGATGCTGTTTGGTTGACGACCAATGCTGAGCCGGCTGTGCTCACAAAGTAGTCCCCAGACCAGTTAGACGTACCTGCAGGCAGAAACACACACGATTCAGGTTCAGCACTTCTCCATGGATGATTGGAAAGTGATTTATATTATGGGTGTACAATCAGATGTGATTATTATTATATCATTTTAATATTAATAGCTGGACAGGCACAGGAGAAGCCAGTGAAAGACTTATTCCCCCAAAATTCACCACAGGAAGTCCTTCCTCCCCTCAGCATGTATATGTTGATAATACTTATACACCACTGTGTATATTGTAATATACATGCATATTATACATTTTTTGTAGTACATTGTGCACATTTTTACTCAAACTTCTTATTTCTATATACAAATGTTTATTTAGTGGGAATGCTGATACAGCATTCCAACTATATGTTATTCTACGGACAACATTTTTATTATTCCGCCGGAATTTTGCACCTCTTCTCCTCCTGCATTCAACATCGCAGAAACTCTGTTCAAACATCAAAACGTTCAGCTCAGTCGGGAATCGATGGCTATCATTTGTATTATTCATAACTTTCATAATTCCAGAGATACATCCCATAATTCATCACATTTTTAACCATTGAAGTCAATGGAGAAAATCTTCAGACTTGAACAATCTTCATGCGACTTCAACTGCTAACTGTTCATTCATACTTTCACTCAGAAACCTCATTCCAACTTTAAAATGTTACACATCTTTCTGACATTATTCGTCTAACACAACTTTTAAATCTGATTCTTACTTTTAGAGATATTAAACATTGTTCAGACCTTGGTAAAGAGGCTTTCTTCAGATTTTAACATTAACTAGAGTGCGTGATGTCACAGCTAGAGGGTAGGAAATCTTGAAATTTGCCTTCATATTTTTTTTTTTAAACTGCCATAATTCCCAAACCCTACATTCCTGAGACATAATCTTTCATGACAAACGTAGGAAAACATCTCGTAGCTTGAAAAATGACAAATAATTAAGCAAAAATAATTAAACAAAATGCCTCTTGAGGGCATGAAGTGACAAAAACTTTCAACATGTCTCCATTAAAACCCATTGTAATTTCAGGCTGATATTTCCTCACAGCAGCAGCCGCACACCTTTAGTTAAACTGCCAAAAAGGCCACATTATTAACCCGAAAGTACACAAAAATTACACTTCAGATACTCAACTTCCTTGACATGCTTCACGTTTTGAAATTTCACAGATATCTGTTATGGTTCTCCCACAAAACGTTCACATGCAAGAGGTTTATCTCTCATTCAGAACAATGCAAACCTTGGATCTCTACAGAGCTCGTTAGCTCAACTATAAACACCTGTGTTCTCTCGGCTTCGAGATGAGAGACGAGGAGAGAGAGGGAGATAGAGAGCAGAAATGAGAGAGAGACGACTAGAGACAGAGTAGAGAAGAGAGAGAGAAGAGAGAGATAGAAGAGGAGCATCACGATCGAGAGACATCGTATCGGCCTCGTCTCGAGTCTGATCTCCTATCTATATCGATAGATCGATACTCTCTCTCTCGCCTTCTATCTCTCTCTTCTCGCTCTCTCTCTATCTCTCTATCCTCTCTCTCTCTCTCTCCTCTCTCTCTCTCTCTCTCTCTCTCTCTCTCTCTCTCTCTCTCAAACGGCCCAAAAACTTCACAGGTTTGGTAACGGATTCAGCACATCAAAGCATCTAAGCGTATTATGGGGTGTCATCAAATGCCGTTGCCATGGCGACAGACCACTCGCCATGAAGCACGATGTCGCTGTAAGTCCAATAGAAACGGTCCGATCGTCCCCCAAACTTCGCTTGTATATCACCGGTCCAGCCCTCAACAGCACTACGTCAATTATGGGGTTTCTTCAAATGCCGTTGCCATGGCAACACAATGCTCGCCATGAAACACGGTTTTCTCATAACTTCAGTGAAAATGTTCCAAACGGCCCAAAACTTCACAGGTTTGGTAACGATGCAGCCATCAACGCATCTAAGCGTATTATGGGGTGTCATCAAATCAAGTTAGTTCAAAAGTTTGCAGTTCAAATATTCTGCTGCTTTTCCAAGCCTTTTTACTTTCTTTTCTTCACTCAACATTCAAGCCCCCAGTGTTCATGTATCATTTCAATCTAAATTCTTCACTTTCTTCTTACACATTACATTTCAGCATAGCAGTTTAGCGTCAGCATAAAGCATGTATCTTTTATTGCACACTCTTTATACAATCTCTTTTATCGCATAATATAACTTCTTATGAATAGTTACATTTTAATTTTTATACATATTTATTTATATTTATCTGTTATTCATTTGATTCTAAATCGAATCAACTGTCACGAAAGAGAGTCTCCCCAGGATAGATAAAGTATTGTGTTCATGCAGAGTTTGAGCAACTTCACCTATGTATGCTATCTTGTCCGTCACCATGTATTTGTTGTGGTTCACTCTGGCAAAGGGAATCCCCTTCTGCTGGGGGGTGGAAGGCACCACAAACAGCCTCTGGGTAAGGGAAACAAAATGTCACTACTTTATTGGTTTACTATGAAATATTAATAAAAACATGTACAACATTAATTCTCAGTAGCAGATACAATTTGATCCCTGGCAGGTCTAATTAAAGTAATCAGTAAAGAGGAAGAGCGACTCACCACCTGGATGTCCAGTCTGCTCTTGGGGTCGTACACGGAGGCCAGAGACTTGAGGAAGGTGAACATGATGGGCTGGGTGCTGGCCCAGCAGCTGATCAGCAGGCGCACTTTGACCCGCTTCTCGTAGCTGACGCGCCTCAGCTGGGTGTCGATGTCGGCCCAGTACCTGCAGATTATAACCACATGAGATATTAACAATGCAAATAACTCATGTCCTAAATCAGTTTGAACTTGATCTATTCTCACAAAAAAAGCTTAGAATAACCCTGTGCAGCTTCTTGATACTCCCATGAGGCACAGTAACACTTCGTACATTTCAGTTGTTTAAATACACTGTGAATTGATTATGATGTAGTAAGAGAATTTCAAATGAGGACTTTTGATTACAAATTTCGGCAGGTGTTTACATTTATTAGAGATTAACCATTAAAGTGACCATCAGCTTTTCTACATGAACATACTTTACCCAGACCTAAAAACATATATATAATAAACATTTATTGATAGACAATGCCACCCATTGGGGGATTTCTTTTTTTAAATAATCCAATCCAACTTTATTTATATAGCACATTAATCAATTAATATATAAAAAAGCAGCATAAATACATTTAGACAAAACCGATAGGACAAAAAGAAAATAATGTAAAAGCACGACACAATAAAACCATACTTATA